TGTGTTCTCTTTCTTTTTGAAATTATTGCATATGTGCATTGATATACTATTAAAAAAATAATAGGGAGCGCTTCCTCAAAATTTCCATAAGCTTTTGGTCCCACCATCTTATTGAGTTTATTTATATAATTTTTCTAGGGCGAATGGCAAAAAGGCCCATCACATGAGACTTAAATGCATTTTGGTCCAAAAAAAAAAAACAGTCTCTCAATTAAACTCATCCCCATATATTTAGTTTAAAATACCCTCAATAATATAATTTTTATCAATTCCACCCATTATGCTCTAACTTCCTTAATATTACACATTGACCCTGAATTTAAACAAATATATCACATTAACCCCCAATGTTTTTTTCAGGAAATAATTTTTTTTCTGAAATGTTTTTTTTCTAGCCAAATTTCGGCGTTGACTGCCGGAGACCGCCGTTCTCCAGCGTTGACTTTTTTTTCTTTTTTTTTTTGAAAACTTTTTTTTTCCTGAAATTATTTTCCAGTAATATTAATTAAAATATATTTTTTAAGAAAAAACAAAATTATAAAAAAAAAGAAAAAAAAGAAAAAAAAATCAATGCCGGAGACCCGGCGGTCAACGGCAGTTGACCGGCGGGAAAAAAATTTCAGGAAAAAAAAATGGTTTCAAAAAAAAAAAGAAAGAAAGAAAATTCAACGCCGATCAACGGCGGCGACCGGCGTCTCCAGTGGTGGCGGGTCAAAATTGGGGTCAAAATTAAAATTAGAGTTAAAATTGGTTAATTGATGAAATTGGGCTAAATTGGGGTGTAAATCATGAAATTGGAGTTGAATTGGGTTTCAATGAATTGGGGGTAATTTTGGTATATATAAAAAGATTTTCCTTATTTGTAAATAAGTTTGAATGGACCAGATTTATTTAAAAAAATTAGATGTCCCTCTTTTAATTAAGTGGCCTTGTCATGGGCCTATTTGGCATTTACACATTTTTCTATATCCAAATTCAAATACTTTTGAATAAAATTATCAATTTGGGCACTGTCAATAGTACTCCCAAGTAAATGAGAGCATCCACAGCGGTACTCTCTAGAATCCCTCCCTAAACTGTGGACCCCATGTGCCACCTATGCATTTTTACTCCTCTCTAAACTATGGACCCCACTTAAGAACTCCCCAAATTTCAAAATGCTCCAATAGGTGGTTTTGTGCATCCTTACATGGCTTCCTAAATATTAAATATTAATAAAAAACTCATTATAATATAATAATTATGAAATTATATTTTTAATTTTTTTATATTTAATTAGTAAAATATATTTAATTAGTAAAATATAATTATGAAATTATATTTATATATTTTTAATTATGAATTATATTTAATTTTTTAATTCTATAAAGATATAAATAATATTTAAAAGATTCAAAAAATTTACGAATAACATAAATATTAATTAGCCAAAAAAATACAAATGAGTTGAAATAAGATTATTAATTTGATGAATACTATTTTAGAAATGATAAAATTATCTATTTATGAAAATAATAAAAACAGTTTAAATTTACGAGTTAATTGTTTTTTTTTCTACAATAAGGCTAATTAAGTATAAATAAATGGAAGTAATTAGTAATTTTTATTTAAACAATTATTAAATAGTACATTATTTCCGTAATGTACCGTGAAATAAAAACAAAAAAGAAAAGCAAAAAAGATAATAATTTGAAGAATAAAAAATAAATAAAACAAAAGCAGACCCCACAATGTTTGTTAATGCACTCCTATCTGTGGGGAGTTAGTTAGCATTTCTCAGGATTTGGGGAGTCATGAAGAGGCTTAAAGTTTCCCACTACAAGAGCTTTTCCTCTCTAAATTTAAAGACTGCCTAAAATCTGACACAAACAATACATTTAAAGAGCTCATTGTGGATGCTCTGAGGCCTGATTTCATTTTTCATTTTACCGACAGCGTATCGGCCCCACTGAATGTGACTTCACGAGTGCACTATGCACTCAGAATTTTTCCCTTTTGATATATTTTGGACTTCTCTCCCCCATAAGCAACTTTTGAATCATTGAAGAGAGAGAGAGAGAGAGAGAGAGAGATGATGAAGACCACTCAATACGCACTATCTTCTCTGCATATATTTGTCCATAATGCATATACACCTCACTTATTGGCCATTACTTCAGTCTGATTTTCTGGACCCCACTTTGTAGACACTGATTGCAATTATCCTCACGTTTTCTGCTCGCTTATCTTTGGCTCCTTTTATATCATTAACAGGTGGCCAAAATAGGCTTAAACCCATATTACACGTTTCTAATTGGTTGATCCAAATAAATTAAGCATGACTAAGATAATTTTAAGGCCTTCTAAGATAAATTTTATCGAACTTACTACTTGATTTTTTGTTGATATTCCATTAGTTCACAATTTGCACGCATAAAAAAGTTTAAAGCCAAGCAGGGGCGGAACCAGGATTTTCGGTAGGGGACCGAAAACTTTAGAGAATTAATAAAAATATGTCAGGATTTACTTAGTTGAATAAGTAAAAGTGTCTTAAAAAATAAAATCTTGAAATACATATAAATTCGATAGAGTGAAACCTTTAAATATTGAAAAGAAAGAAAAAAATACTTTCTTTTTTTATGTTATGTTATTTTTTTATCATAAGCTAAATTTAATAGAGATTAGGGCTTGAGATTGTAAAAAATATTTTATAGGATAAATTATAAAAGAAAATTAAATTTAAAAGGTGGAAATAATAATTTATTTTTTAATGTAGGCCATATATAAATATTTGTAAATAAAAAATTAATATATAATAGTAGATAAAAGTTAATATACCAACCAATTATGTATAAATCTATCCAATATCTATAAATATTAGTATATATATATATATACTAGTAGTAAAAAAAAATTATGCGGGGACAACAGCCCCCCTTGCCCTATTGTAGTTTCGCCAGTGATACACCGTGAAGATAAATTACCAGCTGTAATTTATGATAACGGTAAATTAAGTGCTATAGTCGAACCAATAAATGCCATATATTTTGTTCGATAATATTTTGTTAATTAGTTTACGGTAATATTCTTAATTGGTTACTTTTTTCCACACTTCTCCGGTATGTGCAACTTTGTCAAGTAATTTTACAGGGGTAAATTAACTTTTGATTGTCCTCGTCACATGTCTAAAGCTAGCACTAGTTATCAAATAAAATCACTCCACTAATAATAATTTGGAATAGGATAATATATAAATAGGAAAAAGAAAAGAAAACGGGTGGTAAAAAATATGAATTTTTTCAACACAACTTTTACGTGTAAAGAGTACTCGGGTAGATACATGAATCATGCGCATGGTATGGCCATCTCGTCAGCGGTAAATATGGTGCCGACATACAATACAAGATACCAGTTTACGCATTAACAATGTGAATCCGACACAAGTCATGCAACACATGCTTTTCGAATTTATTATTAGTTTTTTTTTTGGTAAATTACGACTACCCTTAAGGTATGGTCGAATCATGAAATAACCTTTTATGTTTGTGTAATTACGACCACTCTCTCAACTATGAATATTCTTACACATCTACTTTTACTTTTGCGGTATTAAATTTAGTGAAATCTTCTAGATTATGCGGAATATTATCCAGTTTGTACTCATTTTACCCAATTTGAGCTCCATATTTTGAAACAAGATGATCATAAGATGTGTCATTTGCATGCAAATATTAGATTGTGGTGCATGAGAAACTGCATTTTTGCACAAAATGAGTACAAACTAGTTCTAGTAGAAAAATGGCTTTTTACTACAATCATTAACCGCAACAAAATGTATCAAATTCGTACTAAAAAAATTTTTGCTACGCATTTGCTACGGTAAATCCTAGTATTGACTACGACTTTAAAATTGTTCCGTAGCAAATAATACCTTTTATTACGATTTTTTACCGTAGCAAAAAATTTCGTAGAAATAAGCAAATTTTCCACTAGTGTAGAGAACATTCCACGAAATCTAGAAGATTTTGTTTAATTTGATACCATAAGAATGAACGTATAAGAAGATTGATGTTGAAGCATTTGGTTGTAATTACTAAAATAATAACTTTTTTTCGTAATTTAAGGGGTGCCTCTAATTTACCCCTTTTTTATTCAAAAGTAGAACATGACTTTCAATTCTAATTAAATAAATTTAAAAATCCAAAGATGTGTTTCTGATTCAGAAAGCATCGGTAATTTTCGAATTTCAAAAGTTTTGAAAATTATTCATTCTTTATTTTCGGATATATTACGTATTTTTTTTAGATATTCAAACTTTTCAATTTTATTAAAAAATTATTGAAATAGTTGTTTATTGTATAATTTATAGCATATCTATCTGTAAAAAATCTAGTGACATTATCCACAAGATAACATATAGAGAACCAGAATTATATCTAATCAATTAAAATTAGGAAATGGTATTGAAGGTATGTTAGGTACAATTTATCGGTTTTCTAAAAATCGGTCGAGGCGGCTGATTAATCGGTCTTCGAGGCAGAGACGGTCTATAATCTTTACAATTTTAGTGTAAAAGTTTGAAAAATCAAGTTTTGCTTGTGAGGTGGTTTTATGCAAGTTGAGACTGTCAAACCGTGGAGGCAAAAATTGATTAAAAATCGAATTTTTTTTAATAGTGAATAATATTATTGGTATAATTAATAGTGAATATTGGTCGTATTATAGGTACCGTATAATACCACTATGGCACTACCCTGCGACAAGGTTCTTGACGAAGATGTCTATATGCTACACTCGATGAATTACACCAAAAACGTACACAAACACACGAGTATACATATTGATACGTGTAAAATAGATATGTTGAAATCAATATCCGGAAAAATTTGACCAGTTGTAGCATGCTGATCCCAACTACCATAACTTTATCTATTAATTAAAAAAAGAAAAAACAAAAAAAAAGCCATAATCATAAATAATGCAGCCTCAAACACTTTATAAATACCACTAGTAAACGTAGTAGTAGTTGCAACTCATTCCCACACATATATCATCAAAAATTAACTCTCTTTCCTAAAGATAATAATATAATTAATGGGGCGCTTCACTGCAGTTCTCTTGGTGCTTGTCCTAGTCATGGTCACTGGTTAGTACATTATGCTTCCATATACTACAATTACATTACATTTAATTTTCTCTTTGTGTGTGTGTGTGTGTGTGTGTGTGTTCTTGTAAATAATTTGTCAAAATTGGTACGATTGTTTGTAAATAATTAATTGAAAAAAAAATGCAGAAATAGGGCCGATGGTGGGAGAGGCAAGGACGTGTTTGTCGCAAAGCCAGCGTTTCAGGGGGCCTTGCGTGAGCGACACCAACTGCAGATTGGTTTGCCACAACGAGGGCTTCTCCGGCGGCGACTGCCAGGGCTTCCGCCGCCGCTGCTTCTGCACCAAACATTGCTGATCCATGACGACGTCAACCCCAATCGTATCGTATCGTATCGTATCGTATCGTATCGCTTCCTTTGCTGCTGGCCGGCATGACTTATTAGTTAGTGATGGATGTGTATCGGATTTCCGGAGTGTTTTTCTTTCTGTTTTCGAGTACTTAATTAAGAAGTCTCTCGTGGTGAGACTTTGAATGTGGTGTGTTTGTAATAATGCGATCGCGCGAGTAATGTGTTTGTGACAATAAAATGGAGTCTTACTCTTCATCACCGATTCACGATCTTTCTCTTATATATTTCGTCTTTTGGTTATGTTTTTCATAAACAGATATATAACAAGATCGGATGGACTTGTTTACAAAAGTATGCAAGAATTTTGTTATTTTTTGGTTTTTAACTTTTATGTGATACCTAAAATACCCTCTACTAGAAATATTTAAATTATAGAGTTAATTACTTAATTTCACTCATAGAGTTAATTCTACTTATCCCCTGTCTAATCTCGAATTGCGGAAAAAAAATTGTGTTAAAAAGAACCTCTTTATTTTGTGCTATTCATTGAATTTCGCCTTTTTTTTGAGAAGAAAGATATTTTATCAGGTTATATCGTAGGCAAAACAAGGCCTGCACTACAACTAGAGTCATAATTTGTTGCAATAGTGTGGGCAAACATATTCCCCGATCGCTTCACAAAAGAAAAAGAAGACGAGTAAAAGAAACAAGCAATAAAATGGCATTCTTCCATAAAAGCTCAATAGGAGGTATCCGATTAAGCTTTGTCGTGGAGGGTGTTAATAATATGAAGGTTGTCTCCTTCCATCACCTCCGATGCTGCACTCATTTCCTTTGCCTGCAATAAAGCGAACAAAGCAGCATGCGCTTCACCCTCGATAGGTAATGGAAGCCCGAGAATCTTCTCATAAACTAACCGTTACTCCGTTAGTAGAAGGAAAGGAGAAAGAACAACAAATTGATTCTCCTTTATAGCTTGATATATATAGTTATCAATGAACGAGAATGAGAGGATTTAGACAATCGTATTGGATTATAATTACAATTCTTGGAATGAGATTGGATTGGATGGGAAACCTACATCTATGTTCCCTGAAGCGTTTGACCTAAAAGCATTACGCAACATACAATCCTAACGAACAGGTATAGGTATAATATCTACATATATATAATACTGAGTACTTATATATATACACACTTTATGAAGCTATAAAGGAGCTTAATTTTGACGGAAAAACTAATGGAAGCTACCCTATAAACCACAAAGGGGTTATGTGCTGATATTACGAGTACAAAGGGATCATCTGCAAAAGCTTGTAACCACAAGGGGTTAAGTGCTACACTTGGGTTTATGTGTTCTGAGTTTAGTGAATACTAGATAATAATAAAATTAATAAATAGTAAATAAAGTTGGTTGACTGATATTATCCAACCAACCAACTTTTTAGCATTTTATAAATAATTATCAACAACTATACATGGGTTAGTTGATATTATCGGCCGAACTTGAATAGTTTGGTTGATGGCTGATTTTCCATAAAAAAAATATAGGGCCCAAAATTGGTTCGTTGGTGGGTAAAATCAGCCCATAGACAGCCCTAAGCGGAATGACATTTTCAAATTTTATGTCCCCCAAGATATGTTAAGTATCTATATTTCTTTGATTAAAATATTCTTTTAACGATTGGTTTTCCCTTCAACCTTAATTTTATGTATGTTAACCAATCGATTCAAACAAGAGTAGCAAATGGATCTAATGGTGTAAATAATTACATCATTAAAATTTTGGTTTGATTAGAACTGCTGATATTGTTCTATTTAGTTATTACTAAATTGTTTGTTCATTATATATAAACGAATTTTATGATTGTGGATCCATTAATTAATATCCAAGATTTTATATAAATATTTTTTGATAACAATCTCAACGATACATATAAATAGCAAGACACACTCTTGGCCCTCCCTCCATAATCCCACTAGTTGCATTAATACCCGGCGAAAATCGAACGGTCATACCCTCACAAGTAGCTTATATTCTCGCGTGCCGGAATTCAGCCCTTATCGTAACATCAAATTCCAACGTCGAACCTAATTGGAATGATCGAGGCAATTCCGTGTTCACAGTCGCATTAAGAGAGTGCTTCGTGTTTTCCGCATCCTCAATAAGTAGTGGTGTCCACTCCTTCGTCGCATTGTACCGGAAAAACACATCCAAATCACGGTATTTGATGTGTCTAATCGATAAACCTATGTTCCACTTTGCCGTGTCAGAATAAGAAGAAGAAGAAGAAGAGTCGTTAGAATATTTATTGAGAAAAACCGAAGCCCCTTCCACTACGAAACTCGGATCTCTAACGAGATTCAGAAATATGATCGTAATGGTTCCGAACGTGAATAGCAAAATTAAGAATCCAAGCATCAACTCTTTTTTTGTTATTGATAGTTTTTTATCATCATCAACCGGTATTATTTCGGAAGGCAAGTCGGTTGATGTGCGGCCGCCACCGGAGGCCACGGCGGAGTTATTAGGGTAGGTGTGGGGCAAAGGTACTCCAATGCATACTCCATCGAAGCCTTGAGGCCTAGGTTTCTCTTCATACATCGCTGCAAATTGTTTTTTTGAACAAAGATTTTAATTAGCGAACGGAAATAGCATTTGATGTATTGACTTATAAGGGAATATATTAATGAAGAGATGAGGTTCACCATATATGAATACGTATCAATGTGTCTGCATATGAATAAGTTAAAAGACACATTAATTAAGTATATATATTCTGTGGGTTGACGAAATTTAATTGCATGATATTGTATGATATTTATTTCTAATGAATGGGGAAATACTACTAAAACATTAATTATCTCGTGCAAATTATTTAAAATATTAATTATCTCGACTAACGCACTCGAATTCTTCACGTGAAAATTAGTTATCAAAGTGTTGTTTGATAGCACACTCATTGGTACCGCGTGCAAATCATCTAATTAATACTTAGCGAGTACCCTGCACATCGTTCATTGTTCGTTGTTCATATATATGCAATCAACGACACACATCAGAAACATAAATCACCTAAAAGTGTAAGAAATAAGTACAATGAATGTCACAATTATCTCGACCAACGCACTCGAATCCTTACTAAAATAAATACATTACTGTTAGGTACAGGTTCTTCCAAATTCAGCCATAGAACCGTAGAACCAAAGAAATAAGGAAAGAGATAAAAACTGTAAAATGAAATAGAACGGCTCAGTTCCCTTTTCCGGTGTTCATACAGTCGATCCAAGGTCTGGTGGTAACCCGAAAACGAAAACAAGCACCCAGCAACAGCCACTGATCCAAACCCCAGATCTGACCCCCAAACTCACTCTGAGTTGACTCACCAACACATGAACAGTCAACTCAGTGAATAACTCACCCTCTCCACTAAGCACAAACCCAGTTTTCTTCACTCAGAACCACCGAAACCCTCACAGAAGAGGATTAAGGCCAGAAAACAATTGGTTTGAATAAAAGGTGAATCACACCTTGTCTCTCTCTCTCACCACAGTATTTATACACGAAGATTCAACGGTCTTCAGCATTAAATGAGCTGCAACGGCAAGGACACCCATTGTCCGGCTAGACCTGCGACGGTGTCACCGGAAAACGACAATGAGTGACGATACACTATAGAGAGAGAGGGGGACAAGGAGAAGAGAGGGAAACAGCGCAGCAGAGAAGTGCTGCTAGGGTTTGAGAGGTGAGTTTAAGAATGGGGCGAATGAAGGGCTGAGATTGAAACCCCACAATTGACGATCCAGATTTAGGTTTGACTGGATCAGTGGGCTTATGTTGCTTTGGGCCCGATTTCAGGAATTGGGCTGCAAATTATTTAAGTACTTGGCCCAGATCACTCAAAGATCATTTCATTGGGCTCAAACTTTAACAAATTCTCCACCTGAGACCAATAAAGGATTATTATGAACACACTTAATAGACTGGGATCATCATTGTCGTAACTTTGAATCTTAGACATTAATCACACAGATTATAGTAGAAGATTCAAATGTATTTTTCCACGAAGGTAGTAATCACCAAGATACAGAAAATTTTAAAATAACAGAGAAGTTAAAATTCACAGAAGCTATCACACAGAAAGCAAAAAAAGGCTTGCACACAGCAAACAGACACACAATGTCTGTTTCAATCATGTTTTGAGACAATGTTCAAGATTCTCAAACATGATCTCAATTTTTCAACAGGTAGGCACTTAGTGCCCATATCAGCAGGGTTGAATTCAGAAGGAATTTTCTTCAGGTCTATCACACCTTTTCCCACAATTTTCCTGATAAAGTGGTACTTGATCTCAATGTGTTTCGTTTTGTCATGAAAGACAAGATTCTTGCACAACTGAATACCAGATTGGCTGTCTGAGAAAACCACAACCTTTTCTTTCAAAAAACCAATTTCAGAGAGCAGCCCTTCCAGCCAGATAGATTCTTTAACAGTCTCAGTAGCTGCAATGTATTCAGCCTCAGTGGTAGAAAGGGCTACAATATTTTCGGGTTGTGATTTCCAGCTAATACAAGAACCACACAGATTTCCTATTATCTCTATTGTTAGAATAATTGGAATCCACATAACCACATAAGACAATTCATTTTTCACATTTAGAAAATTCAATCCATGTTCTAACAGATCCTCTTAGATATCTCATTAACCATTTTACAGCCTCCCAATGAGGCATCCCAGGATTAGCCATGTATCTACTCAAACAACTTACAGCATATGCAATATCAGGTCTTGTACTAACCATTTAAACATGATAGATCCAATTGCATTAGCATAAGGAACATATTTCATGTCACACATTTCAGGTTCAGTCTTAGGGGACTGTTCCTTACTTAACAAGAAATGAACAGCTAAAGGCACAGACACAGATTTTGCATTTTTCATGGAAAATTTATCTAAGATCTTTTCCACATAGGCAGATTGGTTCAGAAACAAAGAACAATCTTTTCTGTTCCTAATTATGTCCATACCCAGAATTCTTTCTGAGTCACCAAGAAATTTCATGTCAAAATTATCACTTAGACACTTCTTAACATGATCAATAACCTTTAAACAATGGCTGGCAATGAGCATGTCATCAACATAGATTAACAGGAACACAGGAGATTGACAGTTATCTTTGAAATACAAGCATGGATCAAAATCACTTCTTTTAAATTTCAAAGAAAGCATACAAGAGTCAATTTTTTTGTTCCACTGTCTAGGTGA